GAAAGAATGGTTTCCGGATCGCTGCTGCATTGGTGCTACTCCGCTGTATGAGTTTCTGATGAGTATATCCACTGAGGTACGTGCAACGATGCTTGTTAATGGGTGTGATTGAATAGCGACACATTTTTTTATAGAATAGGAGGCAAACGAGCAGACGCATGCCTAATACTATGTTGTCAATGTTGTGCAAAATAACAAAATTTACCCATTAAGTTATTAAATTAATAAATACATTACTTACCTAAAACTTACGATAGCCTTTATGATTCTATAATTACATCTTTTCAAAAACTACGAATTGTTATGTGTTATAGTTATTTACGTAGATACGCAATATACCCAATCGTAGAATTTGTATTTGTAGTTCCGGCTGCCATTGATATTCTTTTAACAGCTATTTCAGTTGGATGGCAAAAAATTTTGTTTCACATTTTCATCAGATATTAGTCATGATAACTTCGACCAAATATCGACAGCAGATGAATCACTTTTGTCATTCATGAAGACTTTTAGTGCTACAAACATATTAGAAGACACACTTCTTATTATCATGGGCGACCACGGAAGCAGGTACAAAGTTAATATTTAATACTATTCGTCCTTCCACAGTCTTTCAATATTTCCGTATTAACTCGTCGAGTACCGGTTTTGTAGACACAATTATAGAACAATAGGTTGCGGTCACCGGTGACCGCTTGGTGTTTGACAGTTTAATGAATAGCTTAACATTATAGGTTCTCGAAACTACGTGAAACGTATCAAGGCAAACTAGAGGAACGTTTGCCCTTACTCTCTATTTTCCTTCCGGAAAGACTCAAACGACTCAGACCTGACGCTGTGGCGGCACTAAATCAGAACGTGGATAGAGTCACAACACCCTATGATTTACACACCACAATATTAGATGTACTAGATTTGAAGGACTTAAGGAATAAGTACACAATCCCTGGTTGTGATTTACCCAGATCTTTGAGTTTATTAGAGCCGGTAAGCTGTAAAAAACCTTAATATATGTTAAGTAATATTGTTGTAGTAACATGTGTCTATAATATCTTTCATATATCATTGAATAAACTGAGTATTATAGTTTGTTTCCTGCCTTAGTTTTGTTTTTTTTTTTATATAATATTAAAGATTATTTCTCCACGGACTCTAGGTCCGTGCCCTTGTCATACAGTTTTTTAATTATAATACATCTAGTCAATATACCTTAGTTTTGTTTAGTAAGTATGTTATATTACGCCAGATACCTGCAACCCGCTCGTGCGCCGATGCTGGCATCGCTCGTCACTGGTGCACCTGCACAAAGTGGCGCAGTGTGGCTACGTCGTCTCCCATGTACAACCTGGTGCCAACTGCTCTCGCCGAGTATATTAACTCTCTTACTTCAGAACTACGGTTAGCTTTTTACTCTTATATCGTATCATATATTGTATCACCCAAATCCTTTAAGAAATTCTGATGAATTTTGTTATAAAACCTTACCTTTGCTGTGAGATTTTACCTTACACGATTGATAAGGGATACCCATCTACAATGAATATAAACCCACAGAAATTGCATAAATTGGTTCTACGTCAGCCACCAAAGAGGCTGGTGTGCACCAGCTAATTTTTCAGCATCCTGTATAATAGAAAATGCATTAAAACGAGTTCCTATTTGTGATGTTACAGATCGAAGTGCGAAAAAAGACAAATTATATCTATTACAACAGTTTTGCTACAGGAAGTCGAGGATCAGTTATTGAAATATGTATATTTTATGGAAGAAGATGCATTTTTTGGAAATCCTCAAGTTTCTGCTCCAAGAACACCTTATGAATACTATATGGCTACGGTGAAGTGCTTCTAAATATGATTTTTGCTTGGCTAGTCGAATAATTAATTCTTATTTGATGAAACAAGTTTTGTTATTAATTTGGGATAAACATTATTTCAGATAATAATGGATCCTGGACGAGCAGTATTCGAAGGATCAGTTGTTTACGATACACAAGCGAAATTGTTTATGATCACTAAAAATGAAATATCAAGAGTTAGTGCGTAAGTACTGAGGGAATTTCATTTAGTAAAACCTTTAAAATATCCGTTACACACTTCACTTAGACACTTCTATGTGTTTCTGATTAATTTTCTTTCGTTCTCTACAAGAAATTTCTCGAAACGACCGAAAAGAAGTTCTTCTCGCTACAATAGATAATTTATTTTGATTTCAAATTTTGGTTATTAATTATATTTTACTCATTAATTATAATTATAATTAAGGTTTTGACTGCCAATAGTAAACTGTTGAAGGCAAATCCTCCGCTAACGTCGGTCACCGGTGACCCCCGTGGCGTTTAATGTGTTAAAATTTTACGTATCGATTTTCTCGCCGACTTTTTACCAGAAAAATAAAATAATTCTACTTTTTTTCTGAGAATAACCATCCTTAAGATAAATTATCGCTATTTATTTTCAATTTCATACAACAAGTGTGTACAAGTGAACTTAATGCCTTGGGCATTGTTTCCCAGTAAACCTTTAAGCAGTGCAGAGATCAAAGGAGCAGGTGATTTAAACCTTTATAAATAGGCAATGTATCAGTATAACAAATAACAAATCTCACAATCATAATTTTCAATAAACACTATACATATAGGTATATTTGAAAACTTATACTTACTTACATTTAACAATAATTATGTATACAATATTAAAGTAATTATATAAATAATAAATATAGGTATATAGAAATATATTATATATTTATATATACACTATTCTATAAGTTGAAGGAGGCTTTATTCTACGCTTTCTACAGTTTGAAATTTACTTTTAATTTTCAGATACAAAAACGAACCGCACTGTATTAGCGCAACGCATCCACATCTAAATCCATTCTGCTATTGCAAAGACCTTCTTTGAAGTTAAGCTGTGAACACTACATAATGTTATGTATAAACTTTAATTATTATTCCTAATAAAACAGGAACTCGCTTGCAGGACAATTTTAATTAATTTAAGTATAGAAGAAAGGCTACTCAATTTTAAATTGTACTTAAATATAGTACCAACACTGTCCTTTTTTCAACAAAATTGTAGGGACAGAACTATATTTAAGCCCGTCTTAAAATTGAGTAACGTTTGTGTATTTGGACATAAGACTACTATAAGGTGTATTATTTTAAAACAATGTGTTTACCTAATAAATGCTAAAGTTTGTGAGTTTGTGTATGTATTTGGGTGTATGTTTATCACTAAATCATGTCAGAACGGCTGAAAAATTATCCCAAGGTGACGCGGGCGAAGCCGTTGTCAAAAGCTAGTTCCTCATGAAATAAAACAGTAGAAATGTATCACATTAGAATATCATTCCGTCTTGGTACTTTACGTAATACTTTAGATGTAGATAGATTGGGTGCATGTACATAGTTAGAATAAAATTGTGTAGAGTTTTTTTATGGGATAAGCCGGTAAATAGATCACCTGATGGTAAGCAATTGGCGCCGCTCATGGACACCCGAAACACCAATGGCGTTACAAGTACTTTACCGACCTTTTTGGGAATTTGAGGATTGTGGAGGATTCGAGGATTGGAGAGACTAGGAAGGGGGGTAATTGGGCCTCTGGTAACCTCACTCACACGACGAAACACAACGCAAGCGTTGTTTCACGTTTCTTTTGGGGATTAAGAATTAGAGGATTAAGGAGATTAGGGAGATGAGTAAGTGTAACAAGTGAATTTATTTCTGCAAATAGGCTACAAGGCAGCACTTTTACACGTCAAAATTTTATCTAGTAGTTGAGCCTCCGGCCAACGCAAGCGTTGTTTCACGTCGGTTTACTGTGATGCCGTGGTATCACCTTAGTCGAGCATGTCTCTCGCACACTTATAGTATAAATATACTGGGCTATGTATATATATATATCCTTTACGGCCTTACCTTCCCCCACCTTCCACATTAACAGAAATGATCCGAACGGAAATTGTCCCGATTCAATTTCCGTAGATAAAATCCGAAAACGTTTTGTGTGTGGAAGTTTGTATGAGTTTAATGTGAAAGTAAAGTTATTGAAACAAATCCTTCTGTACTTTGTAGTTGTATTGCGATATCACGAGTTTCTGTATAGTAGATATGAAGTGTGCTTCAGTAAAGGGTTTTTCATGATAGATACGGGTGGATATGACATCACTAAAGTGCACTGCTAATAATTATCTTGTTCTATTTGTGCTGTTCATCTTGTTGTATAGTGGTTGTCGTGTTCGCCATTTAGGTATAATGCAGTATACGGCGATTTTGAAAATCTAAATGTGATCATAAAGTTTTGATACTGACAGTACCTAGATTTTGTACGAATTCCCCATAAAACATGAATGCATGGCATAGAACTTAAGTGTGTGCTACGTTCATTGCTCATTATGAACTATCGTTAGTATTACCTTCGAGGATTGTAAATTCTAATGATGTAACATTCTATTGTAGATATCTAAATAGGAATATGTCAATACATATACATTTGTTTCTAATGGGACCAAATTGAAGTGAGACGTCACGAGTCTAATGGGGGACAGTGATAAATTGTACGCGTATCTTCGGCAAGTGAATCTCGACGCGCAATCCGTCTTCGTCTTTTTCTACTTGATATAAACATAGATGTGGCCTTCGGTGAATTCAGTTTTTATACAAATATCCTCCATAAGAACACTTAGAGACTTAGTCACGATGGCGCCGATTTGAAATTGTCTGTAAATATTTGTTTTCCTTTTTTTAGTTTTTAATTCATAATTGTAGTCAAATTACAGCTTTGTTTCTTAATTTTTAGGTAAGTATGACATGTTTCACATTCCAACAAAAATATCGTAAATGTATAATAATACAATTAATGTTTCAAACTTCTGCATCGTAATAATATTTAACTCACTCCTAATCACGACTTTTTTCCGGACATTCTGGTAGATATCTACCTATTTATTATAAAATTTTTGAAATAAATAAAGGTAATGAAATAAACACCAAGCTAATGTAGCAAATGGTTTTTAATTACTGATGACATTTTTGAATACACTAATTGTTTTAAGTCTATAGCAAACAAATAATCAACATGATTAAAATTTTTATTAGGAACTTTGTAATATTCCACTACATTTTTCAATCTCCTACGTAAATTTTCTACATCTTTGACATCCACTAACCAGTCATTCTCGCTATAAAATAAGGCTATAGGTACAGTAATTTTCTCCACTGGATACTCTGGGGGAATCAGAGAGCGGTACATTTCAAAGTTTTTTGCCGGTCCAAGATCAAACCTTCGAAATCTACCCGAGATTAAAGATTGGGAATAATGTTCGAACTGCTTAGTTGCTGCTCCAGACGGTGTGTGAGCAAAAACGACAGGTAAGTTGGTAACATTTAACTGTGCAGCGTCAAATCCACAAAACGCGAACACAATATTAGTACACACGATTTTCGCGAACTCCTCCGTTCCACATATGGTTTCGCGAAAAGGTGCTGTTATGTTGACACTTGGCAAGAATTCATAAATACCTAATTCTTTAAGAAGTGAAAATAGGAGTTCAGGATGGTAAAGCGTTACAGTCTTTAAAAAATTTAATATAGGACTTTTCATGTTCGGTAGGGCGGCCGGCGCAGACAACGCAACCATCAAAGATATTTTGTCATTGTATGAGAGTATTTCTGAGCACATGACCAAAAACGATGTACAACCTTGTGAATGACCTACATAAATTAGCTTCGTCTGATTTCTTGCATTCAAAACATAATCTATCATAACTGGGAGGTCGTAGCGCCCGATCTCGTCCCAACTAAAGTCCCAAAATTTTTGCGAAGAGGGTGCCAACGTCTTATGTCGCCTCGAATGTGTGTTGCCTCGAGCATTCCCCATCCACACATCATAACCTTCGTTAGCAAGTAAATAGGCAATCCCACTCTCTGTACCCGCCGTCACCCAGTCGTCAGCGCTCATTAACAATCCATGCATTAAGAATATAACAGGTCCTTCGCTGCGGATTCTGATCAAAGTCAAAATATATCCATCTTCGGTAATAACTTCGTGCTCCTCCACTTTGTATCCATATTTAAATATTAGTTGAGAAATATTTAAATGTATATCTTCATTACCAAGGCCAGCTTTATACTGTTGTATGTCGAATCCGACTTTCGTGTTGGCAAATAAATCTGAATTCTGGGTGGACTTGAGATAATTTTGAAATGTCTGAATCTTGAGTAATAATTCACGATCACGCATTTCGGAACTCTGTGACGAATAATTTAAACACATGGCACTTAATACAAACAAAACTAGTGTCTTCATTTTAATTACACTTTGTTTAATTTATTTGAAATTGTACTTGTGAATTACATAATATTAAAACACAAAAACACATATCCCCAACAACACTACTAATACGAATGAGAACTTGGGTATGTATATCAGTGACTAGGCAGTAAATCTTCCTCGATCGCATAATCAAAATGCTAATCCGGTTCGTAATGAACCAAATGAGGGCATTTATGGAGATAAATGATATCTCATTTTTAATTTATACATTCCCAAAACCAATTATGCAAATGTTTTTGAAGTAAAAAGGAAAATATAATATACAAAGAAAGTTAGTCTATAATTGAGAAAGATTTGGATTCAAATATACCTATTACTTTTTTTTTGGCATAATCCGATAAACGAGCAGACGGATCATCTGATGGGAAGCAATCGGCGCCGCCACCTGAAACATCAAGGCGTTACAAGGGCGTTACCGGCTACAATGCACAAATTATCAATTGGTACCGCCAATTGATAATTTATGCATTGTGGAGGATTCGGGGATAGGGTAGACTGACAACCTCATTCACACGACAAAACACAACGCGAGCGTTGTTTCACGTCGGTTTTCTGTGAGGCCGTGGTATCACTACGGTCGAGGCGGCCCATTCGTGCCGAAGCATGGTTACTTTCGGTAAACAAGGCAGATTACCTAGCATGAGTGAATATCAAATACCCCGTTCACACGTCACACTATTTTGGTCCGACAGATTTCGATTCTTACTGCAATTGTCTTCGTAATACCTACCTCATTAATCTCCCATGTTCAATTTTATTCATTCATATGTTTATGACGCGGTGGCCCGGCTCATATATGAGGATACGAGTTCGAAACCTGCCAATTACCAATGCGACTTCTTCCGAGCTATGTGTGTGTACTTTGTAAAATTATTACAAGTCATCAATTATGAAGGAAATATAGTGAGAAAACCTGGGCGTATGATTACTAATTATAGGTTTAAAATTGCCAACCCGTCTTGAACAAGCGTGATTAATGCTCAAAGCTACTCAAAATTTACGACGACATCTGATGATTATTCCACATTAAAAAAAATACCTTGGAGCAAATGCAAAACAATCATCGACGTCTTACCTTATATGACGTCAATGATATCTGAAACTCGTCAAATGTGTATAATACCAGACAATGTAAGTACTTGCGTAGTTTAGTACACTTGCTGCTGCGTAAACGGTAACATAAACCCACTGAACAATAAAAAGCAAATGGCGTAATACGTCGAAGTGTTGTTACGACTTGCCGTCGGCTTTTATTTTATAGGCGGTCCCCGTAAATAGCCGACTTTTATCCTTTATACAAACTAAAGCTGCTTCTTCCTCTCCACAATACTCTCGTCGTAAATGTACGTAAAATCTTAGATAGATGTTTACTTTTAAAAGTTGTACGTGGATCGGTTATCAATTTCCCGTATCTTTTTCCCCAGAGATCACATTTACCCTTTTTCTCATAATTTGTGGTCTGCATACGGTCACTATTCATAAGGCAACTTCAATATTCTTAACGAATTAAGTATTCATGAAACAAAGTTAAGTAATTTGGTGATACCTAAATTTTGTTTCGAATTATTTTAGTACCGTTCCTAACTCAGTGCTACAAAGAATCATCATTAATTATAATGTCCAGGATTGGCAGGCAGTTTAACCCGTGATATCCTGTGGGCTTACTCTTGAATCCAATTCCGATCGATCGATATTGATATTGTGAAATTTCGTACTCTTGAGTTTCGTCACTAGCGCCCATTGCATCCGTATTGCGTGGGTATTTAATGAACTAAATGGTTGGTATTGAGTTCGGCTGTATATTCCATGCTCTGAATGCTATTTTAACAGCTGGTAGGCAGGTTGTAAAGTTTTGACATTGAATAATTATTGAGTTTTCATTGGATTGCAATTGCATTGGAATTGAGATTGGTTTCAAGAGTAAGCACCCTGATTGGATCGGAATGCATATCTACGCGAGACAGAATGTAATTTCTATTGTGTCTCATATACTGATATTCAAGCGGTTAAAAGGTTCAGGCTTACAAGAGAGCGCAGTTGCCTGGCTTCTCCCGACACACTACATGTACTTGAAATTGAATGCAGGTACAATTAAATAAACGTAGTCAAACTGTCTGTAAATTATAAAACGAAAATTTTGCGACAAAAAAAAAATATCCAGACGAAACTGAGAACTTTCTTCTTTAGTTTTAGTCAAATGATCTCTTTCCAAATACTTGGTAGCTACATCTCTATCACTAATCAGTACCTTAGCTATGAGATATTAGTATTGAAAGTACTTATTTCAAAAGGTTTTAGCGTCTATCAATCTTCTTTGTTCGACTTGTGAGTATTAAGTGACATAAAGCAAGCACTCTGCTTAATTGAGCGGTGTCAAGTGGCGCGTCGGATATAAAGTTTCACGGATTGCTCCTCTTACGACCTCTTACAAACTTATATAAGAATTTTCTTTCGATTTCATATTTTTCATTTTATACGTAGGTATAGAAGAAGGAGAAAATTTGTTAGAAATCTAATTTATATATTGTTTGATAAATTAAATTTTAATTCAACTTGGGTATAATCCCAGCCTTGAACCCTTGTCTGATATGCTAAAGTATCAAAATAAAAGAAATCTTATACTCTTATACTATTATATAAAGCAGAAGAGTTTGTTTTTTTGTTTGTTTGAACGCTCTTTTATTTATATTTGAGGGGGGCGACGTTTGACCACTATCTCGCCTGGTGGTAAGCGATGATGCGGTCTACGATGGAGCACGTCGTCCCATAAGCAACCTATTCACTCGGGCATTGAAGACTCCCAGGTCTTCAGGAAATACAGACTCTGGCAAAGAATTCTAATCTCTAATCTCCGTAACTACAAGTCTGATTTGAATAATAATTTTTGTGTTGGATAGCGCATTTCTCGAGGATGGCTATAGGCTATAAAACATCACGCTACGACCAATAGGAGCAAAGCAGAGCGTGTGAAACCGCGCGGAAGTAGCTAGTCTGTGATAAATAAGTTAGTAGGTAGTTAAGTACTTTAGTTAGTAGTTAGTAGAAGAAAATAAAACAAATGGATGTACATAACCAACGAACGTAGGTACATGACATATTATCAAAACGTGTCTTAATGGGCTAATTAAGAATGTTATTTTTTTTTGTTTACCTTTATATGATAAAAATCCAGTATTTACTGCAGCGATAACTTTGAAACGATTTGTGTCGCTTTATAACTAACCATGGTTATTAGTTCTAATATTCTTATCTGTATTTTTTTAAATATTAACGATTAGTTTCTTGCTCGTTCTTTCCTATACATACAGTGGCCTTAGTATAAGTTTGTTTTACGGTTAAAGTAATCGAAAAGAGACCACGTTTGGCGCTGTGATTGGTTGAATCATTGGAGCCGGCCAATCAGAGCACCGAACGCGGTATCGTGTCGGTTACTTAATACGTAAAACAAACTCGTACTTAGCCCTCAGACCACTTGTTTTAATTCACCAATGATTACCGAAAATGGGTTTGGGACCCAACAATATAACCACTAACCAGTGAAAATTGAGTGTTAAATTCTATACTTATGTGTACCACTGTTTTTGTTTATACTCTACTAGCGACCCGCCCCGGCTTCGCACGGGTGCAATATGCATGATATAAACCTTCCTTAAGAATCACTCTATCTATTAAAAAAACCGCATCAAAATCCGTTGCGTAGTTTTAAAGATCTAAGCATACATACGGACATACAGCGAAAGCGACTTTGTTTTATACTATGTATTGAAGCCGATTAACGAGCAGACGGATCACCTGATGGTAAGCAATGGGCGCCGCCCATGGACATCTAAAACACCAGAGGCGTTACAAGGGCGTACCCGGCCCCTTGGGAGGAGGTGGGCGGGTAATCGGGCCTCCGGTAACCTCACTCAGATGACGAAACACAATCCAAGCGTTGATTCACGTCGGCTTTCTGTGATGCCGTGGTATCACTCCGGTCGAGCCGGCCCATACGTGCCGAAGCATGGTTCTCTCACAGTTTATAATAATTTGTAGGTATACTTTTGTAATAGTTAGAAGAACGTAACGTCACATATGATTTTGTGATAATTTTGAAGATATACATTGTGAATAATATTGTTTATGGTATTAAGGTTACTATTTGCTTAGCAGGAATTATATGAATTAAAATGCGTGTTTGCTTGAAGACTGTTTATTTGCGACTGAACTGAGGTGGGGGGATGCGGCGCGCGTCACAAACACATGTATAGTTACGATATAGTAGTAGTTACAATATAAATACAACAAATATAATATTATTATGTTACGCACTCATTTAAGTACGTATGTCTGCTGCGCAACAGGCTGACGTACCTACGTACCTACTTCAAAACATTACAAGGCCATCATCATTGATACTTAAAACTTTGTAGTAGTTAGGATGTATTTCATTTCTTGATAAAATCTTTACACTTAATTATTATTTACAATACGTTTGACTGCAGTGGCTGAGTGAGTACCGGTTACCTATTTATAACACTTCGTCACACTTCGTTTCCCACACGGAACAAATTTTGTGTTAGGTACCTATTTACAAATTGTTGGTTGATATACGTATTTGATGTATACTGTGTAAGCGTCTGTTAATACATAAGTACGTGCCGTAGATGTAAAACATACAAAATAGCCTAAGATTTATACTACAAAACATAATTTTGCTAGTTAAGACTCAACACGAAGGGTAAAGACTAAAGAGGTATGTAAAACTATTAGTCTATTCTGTAAGTTGTCTATTCGAAGTCTCGAAGTGAGGTCGAACGCGGTTTCCCATGTCATTGGTTGTGAGAATAATCTCGAGCAATGACGGACGAGAATGCAATCGAGCATGCATTGACATCTTATAGCCTAGCAGTTAAAGACTACGATACTGCGAGGGTCAAAGTTTCGAATTCATTCTAAACTAATAACTGAATGTTTTCTAATTATTATGTCTCACGAAAGTAATAATA